CAAGAATGGCCTACCCCTTCCACCATCGGTCATGTTCGAAGCTTTCACAGGTTAGCCAGTTTCTACCGACGATTTGTGAAAGATTTCAGCACCGTGGCCGCACCACTTACGGCTGTCATCAAGAAAAACGTTCCAATAAGTGGGGAGCAGCTCAAGATGAAGTTTTTCAAGCCTTGAAGGAAAAGCTCACTCAAGCACCCGTTCTTGCGTTACCTAACTTTGACAAGATGTTCGAAGTGAAATGCGACGCCTCCGGGTTAGGAATCGGAGCTGTACTGCACCAGAAGAAGAGGCCGGTGGCGTATTTCAGTAAGAAACTCCATGGAGCCACCCTCAATTACCCTACCTACAATAAGGAATTGTACGCACTGGTTAGAGCATTGGAAACGTGGCAACATTACTTGTTGTCCAAGGAGTTCATCATACACACTGATCACGAGACCCTGAAACATTTGCGTGGCCAAACCTCACTTAAGCAAAGGCATGCTAAGTGGCTTGAGTTCATAGAGACTTTCCCCTATGTAATCAAGTACAAAAAGGGAAAAGAAAACGTGGTAGCTGACGCTTTATCAAGGCACCATACGTTTATAGTGACCATGGAGGCCAAATGTTTTGGGGTTCGAGCACATCAAAGCACTATACAAAGATGATCCTGAGCTTGGTGAAACATATAACGATTGCTGCAAAGGCCCCACAGGTTCTTTCTATATACATGATGGTTTTCTTTTTAAAGATAAACGCTTGTGTATTCCGCAGAGATCAATGAGGGAACTAGTGCTTAGTGAAGCCCACGGTGGAGGTTTAATGGGACACTTTGGGGTGGATAAAACTCTGGCTGTCATGATGGACCATTTCTATTGGCCACACATGAAAGAGACGTGGAACGGTTCTGTTCAAGATGTATCCAGTGCCACAAAGCCAAATCCAGGTCACACCCTCACGGTCTATACATGCCTCTGCCTATACCTAACGCCCCTTAGGTAGATATTTCGATGGATTTTGTCTTAGGTTTGCCCAAGATCAGGCACAATGACTCCATCTTTGTTGTTGTTGACCGGTTCTCTAAGATGGCCCACTTTATACCGTGTGAAAAGACAAATGACGCCACACAAATAGCCAATTTGTTCTTCAAGGAGGTCGTACGTCTACATGAGATCCCGAGAACAATTATTTCAGACCGAAACACCAAGTTTCTCAGACATTTTTGGCGTATCTTGTGGAAAACGTTAGGCACCAAGCTCCTTTTCTCCACAACTTGCCACCCACAGACCGATGGTCAAACAGAAGTGGTAAACCGAACCTTATCTCCATTACTTAGGGCTGCACTTGGTAAAACATGAGCACATGGCTCGATTGCATCCCTTTTCTAGAATTTGCTTATAACCGTGCAAGACACTCAGCTACAAAGCTATCTCCTTTTGAGATAGTTTATGGTACTAACCCTCTTTCTCTAGTAGATCTTAGACCTATAGCACATGTAGACCAAGCAAATCTAGATGGATTGAGATGAGGAAAGCTATTCAAAAAGTTATATGAGACGGCGAAGACCAACATAGAAAAGAAGACCGAGGTCTACAAGAAGGCCGCAGACAAGGGCTGAAAGGACGTCTCATTTGAGTTAGGAGATTGGGTCTGGTTACACATGAGGACAGAAAGATTCCCTGGTCGACGTGCATCCAAACTCTCACCGCGAGGCGACGACCCATTCAAAGTCTTGAGCAAGATCAACGATAATGCTTACCGTTTGGATCTTCCAGGTGAGTATAACATTTCACACAGTTTCAACGTGGCTGAATTATCTTCTCTTAATGCAGGTGAAGAAGTTTTGGGGTCAAAACCTTTAGAAGAGGGAGGGAATGATGTGGACATCGACCCTAAGGCCTTACCGGAGCTAATGCCATCAGTCCAAGACGGGGCCATGACACGCTCCAAGATTAAACAACTCAGAAATAGATACAAGAGAGCCTTACACATCTTTATCAACTCGCTAGAACCAGACGACCCATTGTTGCCCGACCTGAATGTCATATACGGCTTAAATGACCTTTGCGGCCAAACCGGGGCCGAACACTTGGGATACAGGAATGACCCACTAGACGATCAAGTCTCTCAGGCCAAAATGGGTATCTCTCGACCAATTTTTGATTTAAATGCTAACAGTCCGAGCAGAATTTCATTTTCAGGTTCAAAACTTGAAGAACTAAAGGACGATTCAAAAATAGCCGATATGCGAGAACTTTTGGCTGAGACGCGATAATTTTAGCCGAGAAACTAGAATCGCCTCGGCAAGTCCAAGTTGGCGAAGGAATTTGTCGCACTGAAGCTGACATCTCTCGACCAAAATCACCAGCTGAATCCAACGCTCAAGACAGAAACAAGTTTGACCGAGCGGATAACGAGATTGCCGAGACCATGCAAAATTTAGCCGATGATTTAAAGACACCCGGGCTAGAATCACAAGACGACTTGGAAACCTCCAACAAAGGTAAGATCTCTCGTCCAAGTGCATATTCTGAAGCTAACGAATGTGGAATTTTGTCCCACCAACGAGCAGATTTGGAGCTTCTTCACAACACACCACCCGAACCCGAGAAAGACCAAGAAGACCAAGAATCTAGGACGGAGCATCAAATAGCTTGGGGACTTGAAGACAAAGACTTGGCCACCATAGAGAAGCACTTAGAAGACTTTATAAGAAGGTTTCAAGTCAGAGACGTCGCAGCTTCAAGGCCGGCCCCCACAACTACACAAGCGACCAGCCGCAGCCCTCTACACCAAGGTAAGCTTTTCAATTATTATATTGTCCTTGCAGGTGATCTCAGCCCCCACAACGACTAAGTACCACATCAAAAAGGGACCAATAGTTTAGTTTCAAGAGTCTGTTGCAAACTTTCCATATTTGAGTTTAATGAAACGATGAGTTTATGTTTTAGGCGTCTAGGTTTATTTCTTGTAGTTTTGCTTTAAACGTCTTGTTGTTTTAAGTCTTTCCATTTTTGTTTCGAGTCGAACCCTAGAAGGTTCAAGCTGACGAACTGTTTATAAAGTCCCACACGCAGCTTTGTAGTCTGCAACCTTTTTCCCATTATCAATAAAAGAATGAACGTTCTTCTAAGTTTCTGAGAAGCGGCTTCTCATCTTGTTCATTGCTTCCTTGTGAGATTCAAGCAAGTGTGAGCTCCTGCACCGTATCAGAGATTCACCTCCCCTCTGTGTCGTGTATTCACTCCGCCAACACACCATCTCTTGATCCCACATGAGAGGGCGACCGCCTGCGTGTCAGATCTCCATTCATCCATCATTTACCGAGCCAAAGAGAGGGCGACTGCCTGCTTTGTCTCTCCACCACCTTGTTTCCCGTGAGAACCCCTTGGTTCTTACATCAAACCTGCTAGGTAAAACAAGGAGATGTCAGAAAATACTTGTCTTAGGACAAGATCTTCTTTATTGGACTAAGCCACGTCCTACACCAAAGTCGAGCTAAACGACTTAAAACAAAAATGCTTAGTAGCTGGTCTTGGGAAATTGATGGACATGCCTCACCTTTGGTAGTAGGTTTTTAGCCTACTAAGGTCAATTAACCTCTTGTGTTGTAGCACTTAAGGGTCAAACCATATGGAGAGATCTTAGACGCCAGGACTATATGGAACTATCTTAATTCAAGTCTAATAAGCAGATGAGTTGGTAACCAAGATTATCTAAAAGCATATAATAAAACAACCAAGAACAAGCAGTAATTAAGAACAAGCAAACAAGAGAAACTAAACAAAGACTAAAATTCAAAATAAAGAAAGAGCTAAACCTCTAGATGTGACAGTGATCAGGGTGCTTTAAATGTGAATTCATGATGCTAAAAAACAATGCAACACTTGAAATTCTTTAGTCTAGACTTCCAAAGCAGATTAATTCATTCCCATGACAGAAATCCCTATGCAAATTACTTAATCAAGAATAATTCCCATTAGTGAATAAGCAATCAACAAGCATAAGGTTCCAAGTCTAAAATGACCAGACAGCCTCTTTGTGCATCAAAATAAGAGCTAAGATAGACTGAATCTTACACAGAAAGATATAACAAGCATCACATGATCTCAATTCCAATTTACTTAGAACTCTAAATTAGACTAATCTTCTCATGAAAGCATTAATCTCAATACTAATCCACTTTCAAACCAAATTCCCATTTGTGAAATATGAATCAATAAGCATTAAGAGACAGTTCTAATATGTCATTTATGTATCAAACAGACATTCCCATGTGGTTCAATTAACATAAGCCCTTAACTTAGCTCATTCAGGCATTTCATCAAACACCTTGTGGGTGGAGAAATACCTAAGTTCTAGACCAGAGTGATTATCAAAGATCTAGCATTAAGAGCAGCTAACTAAGGAAAGGAAATGAGAATCTAGAACCTAAACATAATAAATCAAACATCAAAGCAACCTAATTTACACACCTAGAAGCTTAAAAGAAGACTACTCACTTATCATGCTTAACACACCTAATCTTTTGCTAGAGATGATGTTAAACATGATTAGGAGCAAAGATAAGAAGATGAGATGATAAGAAACAGCTTTAGATTGATTAGATCCTTCAGATATCTCTTAACAAACTCGTTTTTAGCTAAAGAGGAAAAGAAAACAAAGATGGAATAAAAGATACTTAGGGGTTTTCCCAACAAAAAAAACTATTTATAGAGAAAGCTTTGGGCCGGGTCAGCCCAGGACAAAATGGGTACTGACCCGTCCTTTCTGGGTTGCTGGAGCCACCCCTCGGCCACCTGAAAAAGTCCTAGACCGAGGCCACACACCGAGGGATCTTGAACTGGGTTGAAACTTGATGAACTTTTCAAGAACATGTGTGAGCTTTGGTCTTTGATCTGGTTGATGTCTTTGAACGTGAACCAAACTTGTTGGTGATCTGGGTTGGTGACAGGAGGCCTCAGTATGGCTCACACCGAGGAGTCAGGTCTAGTTCTGGCTTATTTCATTCGTGACACATGCACCTCGGCATAGATCAGGCCGTGGGGGTGAAGCTGAGGTCCTGCACCTTTGTTGCGTGTGATGTGTACCTCGGTGTGATCAGGTCGAGGGGTCTAGGTCAAGGGGGTCATGTCACAGAGGGCCTCGTGGTAAGTAGGTCGAGGGGTCTAGGTCAAGGGGGTCATGTCACAGAGGGCCTCGTGGTAAGTAGGTCGAGGGGTTATGCTGAGGTCAGCTGTAACACTTAGACAAATCTCAGATCAATCCCCATAGATGTTTGACCTTGATATTTAGTTGTTTGGAGACTAGTTTGGTGAGCACGGGTGCCTCGGTGTTGTATGACCGAGGGGTCAGCCCTAGGTTTAGACCAAAAGCTTCGCAAACAGGCCTCGGTGCACAGATATACCGAGGGTTTCACACCGAGGCACAAAAAAAACACTTAGTCCTCAACAAGCTCTTTGAACCCGGAATGACATGCTTCTCTTCTGTTCTATGTAACTTTCAGCTCAGTGATCCAAATGACACAAGACCAAGTCCTTGGCATATATGAATCTACCATCTCAAACTTTGGTGAAGAACCCGATTGCATCCGGGGATATCTAGGGTTCCCGGGCGGCCGATCTTTGAAGTGCATTGCACTGGTCGGAATTGGCTTCTAGACCTGTCCTTCTTCCGATTGCAATATCTCACAGCTCACAGCTCCAAATCTTCTGAATCCAAGTGTTCTGGAAACTAGATTCAGTAATCTCAAACTTTTATGAAAACCTCGGAAGCCAGATAGGAGGAAAGTCTTTCCGGTAATGGCATCTTTGAGGCGTATTGGATTGCTCCAGAATGAATGCGAGACAGGTTCGTCTTCCGTTGGCCATATCTTTCAGCTCAGTGCTCCAAATCCATTGATTTCAACCTTGACTCAATTATCTTGATCTTTGGTGAAGACTCCAGAAGCTGAGTTGACTGGTAAGACCTTCCGGTAACTCGATGTTTGGAGCGTATCAACACAGGAGATTTTATGTCGAGGTTTATACAAGCGGTACGTGTTTTTGGAACGAGGTTTCCTTCCAGCGGAATGGGTTTGGCCGAGAAAGTCGACCTGCAGTACAGGGTTCCCCCGAGAGACTTCAAAATGCCATTTTCACCATTTTTGATCATTCAAACATCATTTCTCCACCTGGTTCACTTCTTCCACTCCAAGTAACCTCCAAAAGCACCTGTTTGACACTTCAAACCATGCAAAACTCTCTTGGACCTAATGCAAGCTAAGTCCTAAATTAATGCTTAAGGACCTCAAATGCATGAAATGAGACCATGATTTGGACTAAATATGCAAAATAAATGAGGCATTTTATGAATATATCAACTCCCTCACACTTATCATTTGCTTGTTCTCAAGCAAAAAGAACAAATGAGAGAGAGGTTGTGAGTTTGGGAGTTCACATTTCTTATGGGAAGAGAGAGGTAACCACAAAAAAAATTCAAATTCAGGGTCCAATTTGCTAATTCTCAAATGCAATGCAAGACTTTACTTTGATGGAACAAATTCAAACAATGATCTTCACAAGCATTCTTATTCCTCAGCCCTTTAACATTCATTAATTGTTACCATGTGAATCAAAATGATGCATACTTAAACAAACAAGCTTGGCTAGGGATGAGTTTATGAGATAAAAATGATCTTATTCTTTGCACAATGTGGGTTCAGTTCAGCACGAGGGATCTCTCATGATGATCAAACTGTACAAAATGTGGGTTCAGTTCAGCACGAGGGATCTCTCATGAATGATCAAACTTTGGTAAAATGCTAAAGGTAAAAACCAACCAATGCATACAAGGGTTAGAATCCATCTACCCATGCACCTAAGAAGCTTCTAAACCCAATGCACCTAAGAAGCTTCTAAACCCTAAACCTCTAAACTACACTCACATGAACCTCGCACTCTCTCCTCATTCATTTTCTTCTCATTAAGGGATTCTCTTTCATTTACAAACACTGGTTTTGGGGTCTAAACTTTTACACTTAGCTGTTTTTCACTTAGCACTATCTAACCTCTTTTCTCATCTCTTTAGACACTTGAGCCATTTTTGGCTTCTTTTCTTTCTTTCATTTCCACTTAGAGGCTAGACTTTTTTTTTTAATCACTAGAGCTTTCTTTTCTTTGAATCACTAGACCCCAAACCATTTTCTTTTCTTTTCCATCCCCTAGTTCACATCATTTTCCACTTTCTTTACATTTCTTTCTCTTTTCCCTCTCAATAGATTTCTTTCTTAAAGCTCTCACCAATGAAACCTCTCCCCCACACTTGTTTCTAGCATAGATCTACTAGTTCCTTGATGTTGGAACTAATTAATATGAACCCTAACCCTTGTCGCTCCAAACCTAACACTTTTTGCTAAGTTTGATCCAAGGTGGCCTCATAATCACACACAAACATTTGGCTTGACAGAAGGATTGGCTCAAGGTGTGGTAACTGTTCCAATGATGGGAATCAGCTATTTGAGCTAAGGAAAAGAGTGGTAAAATGGGTTTCCAGCTCAAATATGTATATGCTATGCACAAGTTTATTCAAGCATGCATCACATGATAATTGCAAATCAAGTTTAAGGTTTTCATTTGCTAGGGCTGAGTTCAATTCAAAGCTTGTATCAACAATCTCACACATTTCAAGTCTTGCAAGCATAAAAGAACTAACAACTTGGGCCATGAACTAAACTCTTAATGTGATCTTCTCTCAAGGAAATCTATCATTACTCCATGCAAATGATGCAAACCTATATGAAATGCAATCCTAGACACAATCTAAAATGTGAGTACAGCTACATGAGCATTTTTTTTGTGAAAATTTTCAAAATTTTCAATTCTTTTTTTGGTTTTTCTATGCAAATATATGCAACTACATGATCAAATGAGACTCAAGATGCAAAAGAGAAAATAAGAATATAGAAAACATGATTAGTAAACATAAAATACCTCCTCCACACTTAAATAATACAGTCCCTTATGTTATAAAAATATGAGAGAGGAGTGAAAAACAAAAGCAAGAAAAATGCAGAGTAAAAAATCAAGAACTAAATGCATATATACAAAGATTTTGGAGTGTTACTAGACATGTTTTTGATGGACTGGAGGCATGGACTATGAAGTGGCCTTTTTTTATTCATGCACGTGCAAGGGTACTTCGGCCTGGCCATGCCGAGGTGTTTATGCCGAGGGTGTCATGTTTCTGGGCTTGTTGCAAAGGCACTTCGGCTTAGACTCAAGAACTCCTCGGCTTAACCTTCCCGAGGCATCACACCAAGGCTAAGCATTTTTCACTTGATCCAAATTCCTCGGTGAGCACCACCTCAAGGTGTTTGCCCGAGGTCTTGAGCTTTTCATTCGGTGGAAACATTCCACACACCTCGTCCTAGCTTACACCGAGGCTTATGTACCGAGGCCTTCACCAATGCTGAATTAAATCACACGGCCGCCTCATCTAAACTCCTTTTTGCACTTTCTCCTTCATGCCATTAAGCAAGAACACGTCCTAGAACCTGAGATCACTTAACAAATCCATCAAAACATTCCAAAAACACTAAAGAAAAGATTAAAAAGATTTATGTACAAGGATAAGCTTGGGGTGTCTCCCAAGAACACTTTGTTTTAAGTCTCTAAGTTTGACTTTTCATACTTTTTTCTTAGTTGGAGAGAGGGGGAGCATTGATGCTCCTTGTCTTGTCCATGAACTCAATTGTGATAGCCTTGTTCATCAGCTCTTGAACACCAGATGACCCTTTGTCTATGAGCTCTTGTGTGAGGATTGCCCTGACCTTAGCAAAAGGATCCTCCATTGTTTTGGACCTTGTATTCTACAGCTCCACCATCAAACTTCCATGGAGTGAGAGTTAAGACTTGAGAAGAGGACCCAAGAGTGAATGGTTTGGTGCTTGTTGGGTTTTTGTCTTGAGACCCTGAACCATTGCCTTCGTTGCTGCTGATCTCCTTCTCACTTGGTGTAGGAGATAGAGATTCCAAGCAAGCTTCATCATCACTAAAGAAATTCCCTTCAAACTCAAGAACAGGTCTTATTAGGGATTCTTTCTTTCTCTGAACAGATGCAAGGGGTTGAGATTCTTCTATAGTTCCAATACTCCCCACATACTTCATTTCATAGTATTTCAACTCCTCAGAATCATCAGATATAACTCCACAAAATCCAACAAGAGGAGGCTTAAGAGGATAAGAGACTTCATCATCTACCTTAGTAAGCACCACTCTTTGAGTATCAAAATCCATCCTTGCTCCTGTTGTGTTCAGAAAAAGAGTTCCAAGCAAGAGAGAAAGCTCTTTGGCCTTCTTCATCTTCATTACCACAAAATCAGTTGGGACTATGCATTCACCAATATTTAGTGGGTAATCTTCAAGGATTCCATATAGCTTCTTTGAGGATGAATATCCAAAGGTAATTGAGATGGGGTGATGCTTTAGAGTCTTGATCCTTACTCTCTCCACCATGTCTAAAGATATTACACTGATGCTTGATCCAGAATCACATAAAGCATTATCCACTTTCAAGCTTCCAAGAGAGCATGAGATCGAGAACTTTCCTGGATTACCTAGCTTTGGAAAAGTTTTGGGTGTCACCCTTATTGGACCAGTGCTAGAGACTCCATCAGATGTTCTTCCTTGAACCATTCTCTGATCTTTTCCTTCAGCAATCTCAGAAGCATTCTTTTTTCATATCAAAACAAGCTGCCTCCCCACCGTGTTTCTCAATGTCCTCATTGAGGTCACAGAACAGGAACTCATATCATCTTTTGTCAGGCGTTTTGCAATTGAGATATTTCCATGGAGAAGATCCTCAATTTCTTGGACAGCAGCATAATTCTAATCATTTGAGAGGATTGCATAGCAGTATTCTATTGGATGTGCAACTGATGTCCCTAGTAAATATCCTTAAGCTTGAGAACTGCAGTGGCCCTTGTTGTTCTCTAGAGTCTTGACTTTGGAAGCCAATGTTGAAAGCTGAGTTAGAAGATCAGAATAAGTGCCATCCAACTTGTTCTTAATTTCTGCCATTTTCTTGTTGAAGTCCATGGCACCACTTGTTTGACCTTTGAGGATTTGCTGGAGCAGGTTCTGCACTTCTTGATCCTTGGTCCCTGAGTGCTGTTCGAGACTTTGCTGTTGGGGAAGGACAAAACCTTGTTGGTTATTGTTGTGAG